CACAGCCATGGCTGCTCAGGAGTTACGCTGGCTCACCTACCTGCTGACCGACTTGGGAGAGAGGCCTCGTTCTCCGCCAGTTCTGTACGTCGACAACAAGGCCGCCATTGCCTTGTGTGAGGAGCACTGACTGGAGCACAGAACGAAGCACATCGCTCTGCGTTACTTCCTGGCTTGAGAGTTGCAGCAGCGGGGCTAGCTTCGCCTTGCTCACGTGGCCACTCGGGCCAACACTGCTGATATATTCTCTAAGGCACTTCCGTCTGGTGACCATCAGCGCTTTTGTACTTTGTTGGGTCTTGTGCCTACGTTTCCGCACTTGCTGGAGATTCTGCTTGTACTGTGATCTATTTATTTATGCCTCCATGCTTGCTCTTGCTAGGTTGAGATCACTGTACTGTTCTTGCTGCATATATACCTCTCCATGTGGAGTGGCCTTGTGACCCTTTGCTTGTGCTCAGAGTGTGTGGTGACGTTATGATCCACCCTGAGCTTGCTTTGCTTCTCTTGACTGGTCTTGTGACCTCGTGCTCTCCCCACTTTGCCTATGGGGGTGTGTCAAACATATATATGTTATATGTTGTAATTATTGGTAGGCTGTAGTGGGGTAGATTCTGTGTGGTATAACCCCTTAGGGTTTTCCTACTTGCAAAACTCTCTCGATAGTTGAATCCATCCTTGCCTAAGTTTCAACAGAATCAGCTCCGCAACCAATCAGAGGCTCCAGATCAAACCAACCCAACATTAAAAGAAAACGATGAAAAGGGGATCATCGATTCGATATTTTAACTTTTCAATTGTAATTAATTGCTTCTCTTGACCGCGACTAATTCTCAATCCTGTCGCGCTGTCTCCAGCGCGATCGACGATGACATCTTATTTATCTCGCGTATAGGGTAGAAACGAAGTTTTTGGGTTACTATTCGACCCCCAAACCATAGTTGATTTTGTTTAGTTTTGACCGTTAGTCATGCTACATTGATCAGCGTGGAAAACCGTGCGACTGGAAGTTGAAGCAAGCGCGGTCCAAATCTACGTGAATGCCAAACTCCAGGAATTAGTAGCAAAACAACCACTCTTCATGCAATTTTCCTGAATGGGACTATAAGTATCGCGTTTTTCCTGGGGTTTGAAGGGTTTGCCACATAGTCCGCGCGCGGCGATGTTGATCCGTCGGACTTTTTACGAGAACACTTGTAGTAGTCAGTTTTTAGAGCTTGCGCAGCTAAGTCAGTTTTTAGCATCATGTTCTCCTTCACATTCTGCACTTCACTCTACAGTCTGCAATGTTTTCAGTTCAGGCTTCCTGAAGAGACGTAGCGGAGACCAATGCGTTCTCTTAGTTATCATCATCCCCTTCATTGCAGGCGGACGCCAGTTACACAACCCCCATGCACAAAGCTCGTACCGTTGACAGCACATACCTCTGATGCGACTGTCGCGTTGTTACCGGAAGGGTAGTATCCCGCGAGCCATCGTCACCTAAAGTCCACCCGCTCCTGTCGTATTTCCTAATTCAAATCCTCATTCCGCTTTACGAGTAGAATCTCCTGCCCTCGCGATTTATTTCTGAAGCCTTGCCACGAGTCACGTGATAGCTGTCTGCCCAACAAATAATTTTCAAGCATTTTCGAAATACACTTCGTTTTCACCGTGACGAGTTTTGCGGCGCCTCAAAATTCATTTCCGAAAACCCACGTTTTGCCTACCGTGACGATTCGGAGTCATTTTCGACGATGATATCACGAATCAAGGTCGTCGAGTTGATAATACCGTACCCCGTCGCGCTCGCGTGGGCGATAATCGCGACCATTCTCCTCTGCTCGCTTTCGATCGTCACCCTTCAGTTCCCGCACGGCTGCGGAGAGAACGGCAATGTCTTGGCGGCAGCAGTAGAGCTCGCAAATGGACCACCAGAGGGCGGTCTCACGCTGCAAGCCAAAATCGCCGATGATTCCGATTTGCTTCCGGCGGGAGAGACCAAGTCCTGCACTGATTGGTTGTCAACGAGCCGTCCGGTTCAAGGCGGCGCGCGCCCGGATCCGTGGGCCTTTACCAAGGTACTAGTGCTGGTAATAATGACCTCGAAGCCCGATCTGGGCTGTCTTTAGCTAACTCTCGCTGGCTTGCTTGCTTTGCAAACGGAGCCTACAAGTAAGCGAAACAAGACGGTACTAAGTCACTAACGGTTGTCTCCTCTCCTCAGCTTCTCACACAATCCCCCCTCCTTGCCCTCAACTCCCCCCGATTTCCTCCCCCGTTTCCCGTATTCCTCTTCAGTCTCCCGCCTCCCTCCGCGCCGCGATTAATGCAGTGCATTCATCTCCACCGTTCCCTACTCCTCCGCATACCTCTCCCCCCCCCCCCCCCCCCCCCCCCCCCCCCCCCCCGCCCCCCCGCCGACCGCAAATGTGAATCTTTCTCGATCTACTGAAGTGCTTGCGAGGCATTCCTTTTTGGCCTAACCGGTCCCGAGTGCCTGCGCGCAATACCATTCCCGAGAGCCTGCGCGCAATCCCATTCCCGAGTGCCTGCGCGCAATCCCGTTCCCGGGTGCCTGCGCGCATCCATTCCCGAGTGCCTGCGCGCAATCCCGTTCCCGAGTGCCTGCGCGCAATCCCGTTCCCGAGTGCCTGCGCGCAATCCCGTTCCCGAGTGCCTGCGCGCAATCCCGTTCCCGAGTGCCTGCGCGCAAAAGAATGAGCTCACCCGATTTCACAGAGTATCTATGCCATTCACCCCACTCTTCCCTTCTCCTGCCCGCCTTCCCTGCGAGACACCTCGCAGTGGACACCCCGCGTTTCCCCGTGCCTTGTAGCGGGATTCCCTATAGAGGAGCTCGATGCGCACCTGAACTTCCGTCGCGAGTGGACGCTCGGGTTCACAGAGGACGTGGAAGATAAGACGCAGGTTCTACCGTTGTTGCGTGGCGCCTTGGATCCAACAATGCACGCGAGGTGGGTGGTAGTAGTATAAACCACTCACTAGTAGCTCGAAACAGTTCGAACCAAATTGGTTTTTCAAACGGAGGTGAGGTCGATCATAATAATTGTACGCGTCGGTTCGCTACTTTGCGCCTTCTTAGAATGAAACATGTCCCCATCTTCCCTCCGGATTCTCCAATCTGCCCCCGGACGCGTTCCCACAGGAAACGAAGGGTTTTCATCGACCTGGGAGCCAAGACGTTCAACACGAGCGTGACCTAGTTTCTCCAGATGTACCCCCTCGATTTCACCGAGATTCACGCGGTGGAAGCGAGACCCGATGTGTTTCAAAAGCCAGCTCCAACAGAACCGAAGGTGTGTGTACAGTACGTTTATGAAATACTTACGAAGGGGTCAGAAATTTATGTGAACAGCTAACGAGCGTTAGGAGAGATGGTGGGGGAGGGGGTAGCAGGGGGTGGGGGGTGGTGGGGACGAAGGGGGGTTGTTGGGGTTGGGGGAGGAGGGAGGGTGAGGGCAAACTAGGTACAAACACGATGATATCAGTGAATATCATGCATACACTATACGCATCCTTGACAAATGGACTGACCAGCATAGGCAGGGTTATTTGTACAAAGCATGTCTTTTGTGATGCGTAACGTGGGGATGAAAACGTGCAAAACTGGGAAACATGCCCCACGTACAATACCCGTTCTCATTTCCTTGAGCCCAGCGCTCATACCCCATACCCCTCCCCACTTTCATCAATTTCTTTTCCCCCTGATTCACCTCTCCTGCTATATTTAATGCATATGACCCTCCAATACTTCAGAGAAATTCTAGAAGTTAACACATCTGGTAAAAAGGACTGAGGAAAACTTGTCATCCAACCCCTTCAAACCCTTCTTCACCGCTCTGAACTGCTTCAGGTATTGGCAAACGGTTTGGGTGTGAATTCACACCTGCGCCCGAGACGAGGAGGCCCAGCAGACTTCCCCGAATGGTTGTTGCAACGCATTCATCCCTACAGCTTCTTTGTCTCTTCTCAAGACAACGAAGAGAGGGTAAGACGACGATAAAAGGCAACCAAGAGGAGGTAGTTAGTTTAAGAAATAGAGACATAAAGCACCAATACTATGTATTGGTCGACTTGGGTTATGTATTGCCCCCCTGTTACTGCCTTTCTGCCTTTCCCCCCTTCCTGCTCGATTTACCCCTCTTTCTGTTCTCTTCCCCTTTTCCTGCTCACGTCACCCCTCTATGCTCTCTTGCTCCCTGTTCCTGCACGCTTCACCCCTCCTATTGTTATTGTCCTACCCACTTCTGAATGATGGTACTAGATGTGGGCAGTGGATGTGGGCAGTGGATGTGGTCAGTGGATGTGGTCAGTGGATGTGGGCAGTGGATGTGGTCAGTGGATGTGGGCAGTGGATGTGGGCAGTGGATGTGGTCAGTGGATGTGGTCAGTGGATGTGGGCAGTGGATGTGGGCAGTGGATGTGGGCAGTGGATGTGGGCAGTGGATGTGGGCAGTGGATGTGGGTAGTGGATGTGGGCAGTGGATGTGGGTAGTGGATGTGGGCAGTGGATGTGGGTAGTGGATGTGGGCAGTGGATGTGGGTAGTGGATGTGGGTACTGGATGTGATGTGGGTAGTGGGTAGTGGATGTGATGTGGGTACAGGATGTGGGTACAGGATGTGATGTGGGTAGTGGATGTGGGTACTGGATGTGGGTACCCCCTTCCCTCCCTCATCCTCCCCTCTTCCTCACATGCATCTGAAGGAAGAGGACTCAGTCGTTGTGAAGATGGGCATAGAGGGGCACGAGTGGGTGATGCTACAACACAGGCGCTCTAACCCTCTCCCCTCCCCTCTCCCCCCTCCCACTCCCAGAGCATGGTGAACGTGATGAGGTGGTTTCTGGAGGACGTGCAGTTGAAGGAGGAAGATTCAACCGTTGTGAAGATGGACATAGAGGGTGTTATCACAAGAGGATGAAGATGGAAGTGCATGATCGAAATACAACCCCGTTACTCCCATCTCCCCCTCTCTCCTCCTCCATCTCCCCTCACAGAACATGGTCAACGTAACCAGATGGTTTCTGGAGGACCTGCAGTTGAAGGAAGGCGACTCGGTCGTAGTGAAGATGGATATAGAGGGGCACGAGTGGGCGATTCTGCAGCACTGGCTCTCCAACCCCCGCATGGCAGCGATCGTAGACGAGCTGTTCGTCGAGGTGCATTATCATCACCCTAGCATGACGGCGTTTACTTGGACCGCGCCGAAATTCAATCGCACCCGCGAGGATACGACGAGGTTGCTGAATGATTTGAGAAAGGCTGGTTTCTACGTGCACCCTTGGCCGTAGATGGTCGGGTTGGTTTCTACGTGCATCCCTGGCCGTAGTTGGCCAGATTGGTTTCTACGTGCATCCCTGTAGATGTCCACACATACTGGTATTACTATTTTCTTAGTATTACTATTACCTTCGCCTATTCCTACACTAAGTTCCCATGGATTGGGCATCTACCCAGATGAGGTGAACTGACTTTTAAAAGTTCACTGAGGCGGTTTGCATTCTATCCATTTAGCTGTTTCTACTTTCAAAATGAAGTATAGGCGTGGCCTATGATATATCGGTTCTGTTGTTCTGTAAATGTTTAGAAAGACTCACGTATCTTGTAGAGATCCTCACGCGGCAGAGGCACAAATTCATGGTTGTGCGAACTACACATGATGCCCGACCAGTGCACGCGAAATTGCCATGCACCGGATGGAAACGCTGCCCCCGAGCTGGAAACCCCTGCTTGCTGCTCCCACAGTACAAGCACATGGGTGGCTGGCAACAGTACATGCGACTCGGCCATCAATGCACGTGCAGTCCCGAACAAGCCATGCCGACCCACATTTGCCTTGTTTCTAGGCCAGGAGTCAGAGAGGCGAAATGAATGGACGAAACGACTATGGTTTCGTGAACGCATTCGCCCATCTGGGCCGCCACCTGAGCAAGGATCATCGTGCGTGTAACAGGCATTTGGTCAGATACACGCTGCCACGTGTAATTCGGGACTTTGCAAGGTACAAGCGCATTACCAGCCAGGCGTTGTTCGCCCACCCCACGTCAGACATTCGAGGGTATGGTTACCAAACCACACGATCAAAAATGCAAGCCAGGTGCATGGAACGAACACCAACCACAAAAATGTGACATGCAACAAAGAACAAGCCCCAGCCTTGCCCAGCACGCCCGACCCGTGACGATAAAATTCGAACAACTAATTCACTAAGTCAGCATTCTCTCACACCCCAGCCGCTCACAATGCCCCGCTTTAATCGACGGGAGCAGCTCCCGCTCCATATCAAGCGCGCTATTTGCGCGCACCACGTCGACAACCCCCGCCTGCGTCATGTTGACCTGGCGAGGTGGTGTTACTCGCAGTACGGATTGCGCCCGGATCGCTCCACTGTCGGCCGCATATTGAAGAGCGCCGAGCGATGGGCTGTCACGGCAACCGGCGACAACCAAGTGCGCCGTCGAGGTGGCGCATGGCCTGAGCTGGAGCAGGCCATGGCGCGGTGGATCGCAAACGCAGGGCCCGCTGGCGTGCCTCTGACGCTGCATACCATCCGCGACCATGTCGCGACGATGGCCCGGAACATGGGCATTCCGCCCACATTCCGCTACTCCATCGGCTGGGTGCGCCGTGCTTTGAGGCTCCAGGGAGTGAGGTGCCGTGCAGCACAAGGCAAGGCGGCTAGCGCGGACATGGCCGCCGTGCGCCACGCACGTGAGAAGCTGCCGCAACTCCTCACGCATCTCGGTGTCACCCCGCGGGACACTTTCAACCTCGATGAGACGGCGCTCTGGCTGTCAGTCCTCCCTCGGCGCACTTACAGCAACGGCCGCATTCCCGGCCGCAAAGTATCGAAGGAGCGGCTCACCGTGGCATTCCTCGTCAATGCTGACGGGAGCCACGTATTCCGACCGCTCGTGATCAATTAGGCGAAGCGGCCGCATGACTTCCGCCCGGATTATGACCCTGAATCCCTTTGCTACTGGCGGCACAACGCGAAAGGCTGGATGACCTCGCCGGTAAGCTCTGTGAAAGTTTAGAAGAAAGAAGAGGATTGCACTAGCAAGAATGGGGATACAAATAGCAAACCCTAGAAGGGTTGTACTCGCTATAGAGCACCCCACTACAGGCTAGAGCATAAGATAACATTCTGACACACCCCCATAGCCAAAGTGGGGTGTAATCAGCAGAGGAAGCAAAGCAGTACAAGCTCAGGGTGGATCACAATGTCACCACACATTCTGAGCACAAGTTCAAGAAGCAATAGTTTAAAGGGTACAATTATGAGCAAAGCTAGTGGTAGTCACAACGGGCAAGCGAGGAGGAGGAGAGAGAGTGAGAGGAGAGGAGATAGGAGGCGACGGCTGAAGCTGCAGACACACGGGCAACAGGAGTCAGACTGGCACAGCGGCTACCGGACGAAGTCCCCGGAATACAGGAGTAACAGGCCCCACGGCTAAAGTAGCGGCAGACGAGCAACGGACCCACGGGCGGCTGGCACAGCTGGCTACGACTGGGCTACCGGACGAAGTCCCCGGAATACAGGTGCTGCTGGCGACACGACGGCAAACTCCATACAGCTTCCCCAAACTATCCCACTCCCCCTGGCACACACCCGCTGCTACACCGCTAGCTCCACTCCCACGCACCCCCCTTAAACCCTAAACCTCAGTCTCCCACACATCCACCCCCCTCAGCGACAGCTGCAGCAGTGGGAGACAAAGGAGGAGGAGGAGCAAAGGGAGGAATACAGAAGTGCCACCCCCATACTCGCCACCCCCTACTCGCCACTCCCCAAACCCTACGGGAAAAGGGGCCGCAGGCGGGGCCGTGGGCCGGGGCGCAGGTAGGGCGATGGGGCCGGGGCGCAGGTAGGGCGTCGAGACGACGGGGCCGCAGGTAGGGCGGCAGGGCCGGGGCCAGGGCCGCAGGTAGGGTCGCCCGAGCCGCGCGCACGCGGCCCGAGCCGCGCGCGGGCCTAGCGCCGCCCGTACGGGTCGCGCGTAGGCCTGGCGCGGCCCGTACGGGCCGCGGACGGGTCTGGCGCGGCCCGTACGTGCCGCGCGCAGGCCACGACGGGCGACGGGGGGCGACGCGGAGGTCCCCGTCGCCCGTCGCAGCGCCTCCCGGGAGCGGCGTGCGGCGTGACGGGGCAGTAACCCGCCGCGCGCCCGCCGCGCGCCTCGGGGCGCACGGCGGGCAGAAAACCGCCGCGCGCCTCGGGGCCCACGGCGGGATGAAAAAATGCCGCACGCCACGGGGCGTGCGGCACAGAGAGTAGTGATAGCAGTAGCAGTAGGAGTTGCAGCGGAAGCAACGAGGTGGTGAGCCCACCCACAGGCGACAAGACTAGCAGCATAGTCTAGGCGACAGTGAGCAGCAAAGTCGACGAGCTCAGCAACTAGGGCAGACGCAGCAGTGGACTCGAAAGAAGGGTCAGTGACAACAGTAGCAAGGAGACGCGTGGCAGTAGGACTGGCAGCACGAAGAGAGTCCGACTCCGGGTCGGCAAGAGCAGGAAGAGAGGACTCAGGAGGAGAAGGCAAAGGGGCACGCAGAGGAGCAGTGGACGGACGCAGAGACATCCGGTGCGTGCCAGGGACAGGAGGAGGACGCTGACGCGAACCACGTCCACTAGTGCGAGTAGCACGGACAGGCGACGCAGGGCGAGACGCAGGCTCACGACGCTCAGCCAGACCTCCAGTAGGACTAGTGTAGGGAGAAGGAGCAGGCAAAGGGGAGGTAGGGTGCAACTGTAGCTGGGACGGGACAGGCTGTGGACACTCTAAGGGAGGAGGAGGACCAGTAGAAGGTGGAAGACCAAGAACCTGCTGCAGGAGTGGAACGAAGTACGGTCGAGGCCGCGTGGCGACGCCAGAAGCAGTAGGGACAGCACCAGAACCCTCAGCAGGAGCACCCGCTCCAGCAGCACCACCAGTAGCTCCAGAACCTCCAGCAGCACTAGGAGCACCCCCAGCAGGACCGCCAGCGGTAGTCTCAGCGCCAACACCCTCAGCAGCACCTCCAGTAGGAGCACCCGCTCCAGCAGCACCTCTAGGAGCTCCAGAACCTCCAGCAGCAACAGGAGCACCCCCAGCAGGACCGCCAGTGGTAGTCTCAGCGCCAACACCCTCAGCAGCACCAGCTAAAGTCGAAATTGCAGGCCCAGCAGCTCCAGTACTCCCAGGACAAGCACCTCCCGGACCCGCGACAGCAGCACCCTCAGTAGCTGACGAACCTCCAGCACCAGCAGCACGGCTCCAGCGCCGCGTAAACCACTCGCGCAGCTCCTGTGGAGAGAGTGGCTCCCGGCGAGTCGTAGCACCCGGAGAACCTCCAGGCGGAGCACCTCCAGGCTCAGCACCCCCAGGCTCAGCACCCCCAGGCTCAGCACCCCCAGGCTCAGCACCCCCAGGCGTAGCACCCCCAGGCTCAGCACCCCTAGGCTCAGCACCCCTAGGCTCAGCACCCCCAGTAGCCGAAGAACCTCCAGCACCAGCTGCACGGCTCCAGCGCCGGGCAAACCACTCGCGCAGCTCCTGTGGAGAGAGTGGCTCCCGGCGAGACGAAGCACCCGGAGAACCTCTAGGCGGAGCACCTCCAGACTCAGCACCCCCAGGCCCGGCACCCCCAGGCAAAGCACCCCCAGGCTCAGCACTCCCAGGCACAGCACCCCCAGCAGCACCAGAGTCACCAGTGACCTCGACATGCTCGACTGCGTCTACCTGGGACACACCTGAAGGGGCAGGACCCTGAGGGGGGAGGGGGTCTACCTAGGGGGGACCTGGTACAAGGAAGAGCAGGGGCGGGGGGAGGGACGGAGTGCGGTAGGGGAAGAGGCGGTAGTAGGGGACCGACTCGTCGAACGTGACGTCTTGGGAGGACAGAACACGGCGAGAGGTGGGGTGGTAGAACTGCCACCCAGGCGCGTCAGGGGGGAACCCGAGGAAGACGCAAGGAGCAGCACGAGGGGACAGCTTGTCCGCAGACAAGTCGCGGACAAACGCCCGAGATCCCCAGACCCGGAACGCCGACGCATCGCCAACCTTCCCCGTCCACAGCAAGGCTGGGGAGGTCTCCGGCCTGGAGACCCTGGGGTGAAGGTTGATCTGATGCGCCGCGTACCTGACCGCAAACGGCCACAGAAAATGGGGGCAGCCGCATGCATCATAGACGTACGAGCGACGTCCATGACCATGCCAATGCGGCGCTCAGCAATCCCATTTTGCTGCGGAGAGTCCGGAAGCGTGAAGGTCTGACGGATGCCCCGTGCACGACAGTAGGCTCTCAAAAGGCCTGAGGAAAACTCTCCGCCTCTGTCCGAGTGCAGACGCAGAACAGGAAAGTCCGAGCCAAAGCTCTGCCTGAGCTGGAGACGAGCTGCGCGGATCCAGTCGATCAGCACCTCAGTGACATCACCCTTGCTGCGCAAGGGGAAGACTGCGGTGAAACGCGAGTAGTCGTCAACAACTAGCAGGAAGTAGCGCTCGTGACCCTGTCCACGGACGCGGGCTGGGCCCCACACGTCCATGTGAAGCGTCTGCAACGGGGCCTCTGTCGGAGGAAACTGGGAGGAGTGAGGGGCAGCACGCTGGCGCCCCTCGACACAGGGGACACAGGTAGGGCCAGGGCCCTGAGGAAGGGGAGGGAGGGACCGGGGGAGACCAGAAACAAGAAAACGAGAGGCCATGCCTCTGAGCCGAAGCAGAGAGGGGTGACCAAGGCGGTGGTGCCAGAGGAGAGTCTCGTGAGACAGGAGACGACACGAACAGGGGGCAGACTCAGGACCAGACCTGGACGCTGCAGCAAACACCTGACCCGACGCAGCTACCCTACCAGGCTCAGCAACTGGAGGAGACGCAGTGGTCAGTGTGTACAGGCCCGACCCCGGCCGACGAGTAAACGTGGCCAGGTGTCGGCCTGTCCGAGCGTCTGTGCAGTGGGTCACCCGCTGACTCGCAGGAGTGAACTGGTGAACCCCCGCATCCTGCAGGTCAGCACCACTCACCAAGTTTGTAGAGAACGAGGGGAGGTAAAGACCAGACAGGGTGCCAGAGGGGGCCGCCGGACACGGGAGGACAGTGGAGAAGTGAGCAAGGACAGGGCCCCCAGAGGGGTCTGCCAGAGAGACTGCAACTGGCCGACCAAGCGGCGTGAGTGTGGTGCAGTCTCGAAAGAAGGAGCGGGAAGCCCCCGAGTCAAGGGTGAAGGTGTGAGAGGCCGGAGCAGACGCGGTACCTGAGAGAGCAGACTCACCCGCACCTGAGGAAGCAGACTCACTAGCACCTAGAGCAGCACCCGCACCTGTACCTGGAGCAGGAGACACACTAGCACCCAGAGCAGCAGCCGCACCAGCAGCTAGAGCAGCAGGATCTATACCCGGGTCAGGCGGTACGCACAGGTGACCGGCACGGTCAGCACTAGTAGGCAATGCATACATGGCAGTGAGAATAGCATCATAGTCAAGAGCAAATATATCTACCCTCTGTCTAAGCAACTCCACCCAGTCGGGAAGCTCAGCCTCGTCGCCAAACTCGGTACGCCAGGCGTCGCTCAGACGGGCAAAGCAGCGGGACGGTGTGTGACTAGGCGTCCCACAAGGCTGACCAGTCCGAGCACCAGTGCGAATCACGTAAGAGCAGCGAACAGAACTGAGAGACCCTCCACTCTGAGCGTACCACTCACGAAGCTGCCGGGGCGTAAGAGACGCGCGTGGGCGTCGTTGGAGCTGCATCTGGCTGCCGCCAGTAGAAGCAGGAGCAGGAGTAGCAGTAGTAAGGCAGGCAGTCAAGCAAGCAGTAGGCAGCGCGCTAGTAAGGCAGGGGCTCACCAGTGGTGGGAAGAGGAGGCTCAACGACTCGGCGACTCGGCGACTTGGCGGCACGGCGGCACTGCAGCAACTGCGGCTCGGCGGCTCAGGCGACTCGGGCGGCTCGGCTGCTCGGGCGACTCGGGCGGCTCGGCGGCTCGGCGGCTCGGCGGTACGGCTGCTCGGCAGCAACTGCAGCTCGGCGGCTCGGCGACCCGGCGGCTCGGGCGGCTGAGGTGGCGCTGCGGCTCGGGCGGCTCGGGTGGCTCGGGCGGCTCGGGCGGCTCGGGCGGCTCGGGCGGCTCGGGCGGCTCGGGTGACTCGGCACTAGCTCGGTGGCGTCGGCGGCTCGGTGGTGACGGCGGGGCCTCCTGGGGACGGCGGCGGGGCCGGGTGGAGCGGCGACGGGGCCAGGAGACGCGGCGCCGGGGCCGGCAGAGGTGGAGCAGGGTCGCAGGGGCAGGCGACGGGGCCAGCAGAGGCGGGGCCGGGTCGGTGCAGGGCTGCGGGGCCGCAAGGGAGGTGGCGGGGCCGCGGTGGAGAATGGCGGCAGGGGCCGCGACGAAGGGCGGCAGGGGTCGCGACGAAGGGCGGGGCCGCGACGTAGGGCGGGGCCGCGACGTAGGGCGGGGCCGCGACGTAGGGCGGGGCCGCGACAAGGGGCGGGGCCGCGACGAAGGGCGGGGCCGCGACGTAGGGCGGGGCCGCGACGTAGGGCGGGGCCGCGACGTAGGGCGGGGCCGCGACAAGGGGCGGGGCCGCGACGAAAGAGGCGGGGTCGCGCGCCTCGGGGCGCGCGCCAGAAAGAAAATCGGTCGCACGCCGCGGGGCGTGCGACTGATCGAGTAGCAGCGGAAGCAGTAGTAGGGCCTTAGGAACAGTTCCCACGAGGGAACCTGCTCGATACCATGTGAAAGTTTAGAAGAAAGAAGAGGATTGCACTAGCAAGAATGGGGATACAAATAGCAAACCCTAGAAGGGTTGTACTCGCTAGAGAGCACCCCACTACAGGCTAGAGCATAAGATAACATTCTGACAAGCTCGTCATGTTTCATTGTTTCGTGCGTTCTTGATGCTTCGCACAAATTACGCGTAATATCACACCTGTCTGGAATGTGTTTGTGCTTACAATGTTCCCATGTACATTCCGCCTTCCCCTCCCTTCCCCTCCCTGCGGTTATTCACACATTTCATATCGCAGCATTGAGCTGCGATGTACGCCGAAGGTCGCAAGATCGTGGTGCTGCTCGACAACGCAAGCAGCCACATGTTCCGCTCTGAGCTCGCATGGAGCGAGATCGTCTGCGGGATGCGGACACCCTGCATGAGCAACGTGCGGCTCGTCTTCCTGCCGCCGAATACCACCGCATTCACACAGCCGCTCGATCAGGGCATCATAGCCACCGCAAAGGCCCGCTACAGACAACATTGGCTGCGGGCCTTCTTGGCTTTGTGGAACGGCGACGGCGCGACTTCCGTCGTCGCGCGTTTCCGCCCGAACTTGCGCGATGTCCTCGCTGTTAACGGGAATGGAGTGTTGGCCCCGCCCTCGCTTGGGCAACGCCGACGACTTGGTCGGATGCATGGGAGTAGCAGCCGACTGTTCACAGTGGGATAGCTGCTCGACAGGTTACGTCGAGCGGCAGCGGACCGCTGTGGTGTTGCTGTCGACGAGGATGCTCGACAGCTGCAACCGCCTGGCCTGGGCGACGGGTGAGCCGTCCGGGAGGTCGACGAAGCAGTCCGTCGACCTACAGTTCGACGGGGAGGTCTACGGAGCATCCCGTCGAACTGCAGTTCGACCGGGAGGTCGACGGAGCAGTTCTGGTCGACGGAAGGGGTCCGTCGACCAAGGGGTAGCTTGACGGGAGGTGTGGTCGACCAGGGGCATCCGGTGGTCGACCAGAGAGACCCAGTGGTCGACGGGAGGCACCTGGGAGTCGACCAGAGCACCAGGGGTCGACCAGGTCGACCGGGTAACCTGCTCGACGAGTTCTGCGGAGGCACGCGAATGCCGTCGAGATCGCGATGGCGCAGGCGACTTCGGGCTGGTATCCCGAAGTCGATGTGGCTCGTCAGGCGCAGACAACAGCCGACGGATGCCCAACGAGGCAAGTCGGACCAATCGTCTGCGCACACCTGCGAGCGCGCGCACTGCTGTGTTCTACGGGGCACGCCGTCGACCTGCTTTGTTGGCAGGTCGCCCTTCTGCAGTGCTGGCGCGGCTCCTCTACGCAATGCTGGCAGGCGGTCGACCAAGCTGCGCTGGCAGTCGACCAGGCTAGCTGCAGGGTTGCTAGGTGCCTGATGTAGTCATTGTTGTCATTGCTTTTTTTTTTTTTTTTTCAATTCTGTAATTCCAACTTTGCTATTGGAAACTCTGGCCAATCTCTCCTGTGAATGTGCAAGCACTAAGGAACCAAGCAAAGCTGAGATCACCTCTAGTAGTTCGTGCCAACCCTGTAGTCTAGCTCACTGCCGTTGTAGAGTGAATCTCCACATGGTGCGGTGAGCGTGGAACGAACACGCGACCTTCAGATAGAAGCCGACTTTTGCACCTACTAAGTCGTTCGTAGGCCGGCAGCAACGATAGTCGCCATGGTCGACCCCGTAGTTGATGCGGGTGTAGCTGACACTTTGGAGGCACGTTTGGCTGACGCGAGGAGACGCCACGCGAATGGCGAGTACGGGACGATCCCCTTAGTGATCGCCGAGTTGGGCATCCGGTCGCAGTGGGCGACGGAACACCCTTCCCGTCCTGCTTCTCCTCGACCGGTGCGCAACGAAGGTGGCGTCGACGACGAGGTCGACGGTGGTGCACGAGTCAGCGGCAGCGAAGGCACGAGGCATAGAGGAGTGATCAAGGTCGACGGTGGTGTTGACGGAATCCAGGCGCGAGTGCAGCGGTCGACGGCGGCTGCAGGCAGCTCGCACGCCGACGTCGATGTTCGACGTCGCTCTCCTCTACGAAGTGGTGGTGGACTCTCGGCGACGACGCATGTGACGGCGGGCGGGATTGCACCGGCGTATGGCTATTTCAAGTTTTCGCCGGATCGAATCACCGTCGCTCCGCTGCAAGGTCGACGGGACCTCATCACCTGGAGGGAGTCGATCGAACCTCAGCTGGAGGTCGCCGGGCTGAAGGGCTTCGCCGACGGCACCGTGCCAATTCCGCCCGAGGAGGATGTCGGGCTGTGCGGGGAGTTTCGTTCTGCTCACCTTCATGATCATCTCGAGGTGCTGCTCGCCGGTGGTACAGCTGGCGCTCAGGAGCTGTCGAGAGCGACTGGATGCTGGTCACCAGGCATGGCGCTTCATCATATCGACGTACCAGGTCAGGGACGACCTGTACATCGGGCAGCTGGAGGAGAAGATGACCCACATTCGGATGGGCGAGCAGGAGTCGGCGACGGATTACTGCAACCGTGCTCGACGGATCCTGGCTGAAATGCGAATGGCAGGCGCCGAATACTCAACGGCGTCCTACATCACCCACATCGTCAAGGGCTTGCCGCGCAGCTACAATCTCATGAAGAGGATGATGATGGTGCCCGGCACGCGTGAGTCCCTCGACGAAGACTCCATCACCAGCTACATTCTCCAGGATGAGGCGATGCAGGAGGCAGAGCAGCCCACGGAGTTCCTTCCGCAGGCGAGTTACGCTGCACCGACGAAGCCGAATACACAGCGGGAGCAGCGCGGGAAGCCGGGCGGAAGTGGTAGCAGAGGTGGGCGGTCGACGAAGAACGTCGACGAAACGAGGTCGACGCGGGACAAGAGTCGACGAGGTGGTGGTCGACGGCGGGAGTGCTGGATCTGCGGCGACCCCGACCATCTCTCCTTCGAGTGCCCCGACCGCGATGAGAGCGACGAGGACGACAACAAGGAAGGCCGAAGTCGATCGACCAGTCGTCGCCCTCGTCGAGCTGAGAAGCCACGCAAGGAGAAGCAAGCGTCGAAGAAAACGTCCTCGACGAAGGACGTCGACAGCTCCAGCGGCAAGAGCCGAGGCGACGGGGAGGCGTCGTGCTCGATGGTCGGCGTAGTGGAGCCGACGGTCTCGCTAGCACCGGAGGCTGGCGAGGACTTCCAGGCGGTGGCAGCAGCTGTGCAGGCCAACCCGATGGCGGTGCTGCTCGACAGCGGGTGCTCCCACCACCTGATGGGGACCAAATCGGTCTTTGTTGACATGGGGCCGAGCGATGGGGTGAAGCATGTGCGTGGGTTCAACGGGGCATTGCAGCCTGTCGAGGGTCGCGGAACAGTCGCTCTGCAAGGGGAGGCCGAGAAGCGAGTCCTCATCCCCGACGTACTCTACGTTCCAGGCGTACAGGCAAACCTGTTGTCTGCTGGCCAGCTGAAGGAGTGCGGCGTGCTACTGCAGGGCGATGGCGATGAGATGCTGCTCGTCGACGCGACTGGAGAGGTGCTTGGTCGAGCACGCTACACCGGACGAGTTCTCTGCACCGACCTTCGCCCCTGCCCGACGCAGTTGCAGTCGACCGAGGTGGTGGCTCTGCGGACGATCACCTCGGCGACGAAGACGACCCCCGATAGGATGCATGCGCGGCTTGCCCACGTCAACGTCGACACGATCAAGAGCTCGGCGAAGCATAATGTGGCTACTGGACTCGACATCACGTTGTCAACCGGAGCAGACCCGCCATGTGTCTCGTGCGTCGGAGGAAAGCTGGCGCGGCACACCTTCCCCGCCAAGGGCTCGGATGCAGCGGAGGCGCTGGCTGTCGTGCACATTGACTTGTGCGGGCCATTTTGGGTGGCTGCCAAGGATGGCAGCTTGTACTTCCTGCTGCTGAAGGATCGCCATACTCGATTTGTATGGGCGATGCCGGTCGCTAAGAAGAGCGACGTGCTGCGGGAGTTCGAGAAGTGGCTGGTGCTTGTGGAACGACAGACGAAGAAGTCGGTTCTGTCGCTTCGCTCCGATCGAGGGGGGGAATTCCTCGGGAAGGCGTTCACCGACTTCGTCGACGGGAAGGGCATCGTCCACGACCTGACGTGCCCCTACACTCCGCAGCAGAATGGCATGGCTGAGCGGGAGATGCGTACGGCCGTCGAGTCCGTGCGGACGATGTTGCTGCACATGGGCGTGCAGCACCATTGGTGGCACCTGGCTCTACGACAAGCTAACTGGGTGCGCAACTGCTTGGAGCGGTCGACGACGCCGCCGGGGACGACTCCGTACCAGCTGCTGACCGGACAGAAGCCCGACCTTACGCTGGCGCGGGTGTGGGGCTGCATGGTGCAGTTCATGGTTCCCGAGCAGCAACGAGGTGGAAAGCTGGCGCCGAAGGCTCGCTGGGGACTTCACCTGGGTGTGTCGCCAGCGAGCAAGGGCTGGGAGGTGCTCGACCTGACCAACAACAAGATGGTCACGTCGGTCGAGGTGATCTTCTATGAGACGCTGTCGCTGGAGGTGTGGAAGGCGAAGTATGGGCCGGCGTCGGAGCGGACGCAGGCGCACCCGCCGACGGACACCTCGACGGCGACGGTTCCCCTGCTCGCTGAAGTCGACGAGCCTGCTCATGAAGATGCTGTGGAGGTCCTTCCACCTCCCCCTGTTCTTGCTCCTCCGTCTCCCGTCGCCGATTTGCCTGTGTCGACACCTGTGTCGGCCACCGACGATGAGGGGAGCCTGGAGGCGTCGCCTGTGGCGCCAGCCAGTGGCATCGCCGGCGGACGACAAGGCGCCAAGCTCGACGACTACGATGGAAAGCCGTCGAAGACAGGGGAGCTGGTCGAAGAGGAGCCATCGGCAGGGGTACACTCGATAGGGGAGCGGCAGCCAGAGCGGTCGACAGGAGAATTGTCGGAGGTAGCAGCAGAGGAACAGCCGGTCGAAGGGTCGAAGCAGATGGTCGACGACGTTCTAGTTAAAACGAAAGGGGAGCTATCGGCGGGTGAGGAGTCCACCGACAGCGACGTGATGGAAGTGCCGATCACGAAGCCTGAGCTGCGTCGCTCAGGTCGAGCTCGACGGCCGCCGGAGCGGTTGAGCTTTCACGCCTGCTTACCGCCAGCTGCCTTCACCACGGTGTACAACGAGGTCGATGACGACCTGCTGTACGACGATGCCGAGGAGGATAAAGACCTGTCGGAGCTCGACCCTGACGTGCATGCCGACCCCGAACACCGCTGGGACATCGCCACGATGACGGTGAAGGAGGCGCTGTCGAGCTGGAAGGGCGAGGCGGTGAAGGCCGCCATGGAAGAAGAAATCCGTAGCCTCATCGCTATGGGGACTTGGGAGCTGGTCCAACGCCCACGCGAGGTGAACATTATGAAGAACCGATGGGTGCTGACGACCAAGTACCGCATCGACGACACCGTCGAGCGCGAGAAGGCGAGGCTGGTCGTAAAGGGCTTCACGCAGGTGTACGGCACCGACTACGACGAGACGTACTCGCCGGTGAGCAGCTACGTCACGCTGAGGATCTTCCTCAGCATAGTCGCCGTCCTCGACCTCAACCTGATGCAGCTCGACATGAAGAACGCTTTCCTGCAGAGCAAGCGCGACAGAGTGCTCTACATGTATCAGCCGGACTACTTCGACGACGGGACCGGCCGGGTGTGTAAGCTGCTGAAAAGCCTCTACGGGCTGAAGCAGTCGCCGCTGCTGTGGTACAGGGCTCTTGACGGTGTGCTGCTGGGCGCTGGCTGGAAGAAGAGCCAGGTCGACGAGGCGCTCTACTTCAAGACCGGCGACGACGGTGTGACCTGCTGGGTCTTGGTCTACGTCGACGACCTGCTCGCCGCTAGCAGCAGCACCGCGATGCTGAAGGAGCTGAAGGAGCTGCTGGAGGCCGCCTTCGAGCTGCGTGAGATCTCGCCGGTGGAAAAGTACCTTGGGCTGGAGATTGTGCGCGACAGGCCGGCCAGGAAGTTGTGGCTGCACCAGCAGGGCTACGCCGACAAGCTGCGCAGGCGCTTCGTCGACGAGGAGCTAGGCGGTCGAGTCCCGAAGACGCCGGTCTCGGTCGACGCCTACGTTCATCTGACGTTCGACGACGAGGAGGCTCAGGAGCGCGAAGAGGAGGAGTACCGCCAGAAGGTCGGCTCGCTGCAGTTCGCGGCGACGACGACGAGGCCGGACATTGCGTTCGCCTGCAGCAAGCTGGGGAGTGGCCTCACGGTGAGGAGCGACCAGCATTGGCGTGAGGTCGACCGTTGCCTCGCCTTCCTCGCCGACACCCGCGACACCGCCCTGGAGTTCGGCGGTGGACCAGAATCGTTGGAGCTGATCGGCTACGTCGACGCCGACGACGCGGGCGACAAGCAGAACCGGACGAGCACGGGAGGCTACGTGTTCGTCTACGGAGGGGCCGCCGTCTCCTGGTCGAGCTCGCGCATCAAGTGCGCGACATTATCATCGACCGAGTCGGAGTACGTGGCGGCCACGGATGCCGGCAAGGAGGGGCGTCGACTTCGCTTCCTCCTTGCGGAATTCAAGCTGCTCGACGCTGGGAAGCCGACCATCCTCCGCGTCAACAACAAGTCGGCAATCACGGTCGCTGAGGGCTTGGGGCTGACGGGCAACCTCAAGCACATGGAGCGACGCTACGCCTGGCTGCAGCACATGGTGAGGCGCGGGAAATTTGTGCTGAACTACATCCCTACCACCGAGCAGCCGGCGGATTTCCTGACGAAGGCGCTGCATTTTCCGGCTTTCAACCGGTGCTCTGTCGCCATCGGCCAAGTTCGCCTGGTGGACGTCGGCGACGGCGATGACGAGGTGCAGCAGTAGGTGCCGTGCCCTTCTGCACGGCTGGTGCGGTGACGGCGTGCTGTGTATGGGGTGCACGCCGAGGACGAGCTTTCTGCGTGGAGTACTGCCGTGTGGGCTGGAGGCCCAAGCGTGAGCGCGGCAGGGGAGTGTTAACGGGAATGGAGTGTTGGCCCCGCCCTCGCTTGGGCAACGCCGACAACTTGGTTGGATGCATGGGAGTAGCAGCCGACTGTTCACAGTGGGATAGCTGCTCGACAGGTTACGTCGAGCGGCAGCGGACCGCTGTGGTGTTGCTTTCGACCAGGATGCTCGACAGCTGCAACCGCCTGGCCTGGGCGACGGGTGAGCCGTCCGGGAGGTCGACGAAGCAGTCCGTCGACCTACAGTTCGACGGGGAGGTCTACGGAGCATCCCGTCGAACTGCAGTTCGACCGGGAGGTCGACGGAGCAGTTCTGGTCGACGGAAGGGGTCCGTCGACCAAGGGGTAGCTTGACGGGAGGTGTGGTCGACCAGGGGCATCCGGTGGTCGACCAGAGAGACCCAGTGGTCGACGGGAGGCACCTGGGAGTCGACCAGAGCACCAGGGGTCGACCAGGTCGACCGGGTAACCTGCTCGACGAGTTCTGCGGAGGCACGCGAATGCCGTCGAGATCGCGATGGCGCAGGCGACTTCGGGCTGGTATCCCGAAGTCGATGTGGCTCGTCAGGCGCAGACAACAGCCGACGGATGCCCAACGAGGCAAGTCGGACCAATCGTCTGCGCACACCTGCGAGCGCGCGCACTGCTGTGTTCTACGGGGCACGCCGTCGACCTGCTTTGTTGGCAGGTCGCCCTTCTGCAGTGCTGGCGCGGCTCCTCTACGCAATGCTGGCAGGCGGTCGACCAAGCTGCGCTGGCAGTCGACCAGGCTAGCTGCAGGGTTGCTAGGTGCCTGATGTAGTCATTGTTGTCATTGCTTTTTTTTTTTTTTTTTCAATTCTGTAATTCCAACTTTGCTATTGGAAACTCTGGCCAATCTCTCCTGTGAATGTGCAAGCACTAAGGAACCAAGCAAAGCTGAGATCACCTCTAGTAGTTCGTGCCAACCCTGTAGTCTAGCTCACTGCCGTTGTAGAGTGAATCTCCACATGGTGCGGTGAGCGTGGAACGAACACGCGACCTTCAGATAGAAGCCGACTTTTGCACCTACTAAGTCGTTCGTAGGCCGGCAGCAACGATAGTCGCCATGGTCGACCCCGTAGTTGATGCGGGTGTAGCTGACACTTTGGAGGCACGTTTGGCTGACGCGAGGAGACGCCACGCGAATGGCGAGTACGGGACGATCCCCTTAGTGATCGCCGAGTTGGGCATCCGGTCGCAGTGGGCGACGGAACACCCTTCCCGTCCTGCTTCTCCTCGACCGGTGCGCAACGAAGGTGGCGTCGACGACGAGGTCGACGGTGGTGCACGAGTCAGCGGCAGCGAAGGCACGAGGCATAGAGGAGTGATCAAGGTCGACGGTGGTGTTGACGGAATCCAGGCGCGAGTGCAGCGGTCGACGGCGGCTGCAGGCAGCTCGCACGCCGACGTCGATGTTCGACGTCGCTCTCCTCTACGAAGTGGTGGTGGACTCTCGGCGACGACGCATGTGACGGCGGGCGGGATTGCACCGGCGTATGGCTATTTCAAGTTTTCGCCGGATCGAATCACCGTCGCTCCGCTGCAAGGTCGACGGGACCTCATCACCTGGAGGGAGTCGATCGAACCTCAGCTGGAGGTCGCCGGGCTGAAGGGCTTCGCCGACGGCACCGTGCCAATTCCGCCCGAGGAGGATGTCGGGCTGTGCGGGGAGTTTCGTTCTGCTCACCTTCATGATCATCTCGAGGTGCTGCTCGCCGGTGGTACAGCTGGCGCTCAGGAGCTGTCGAGAGCGACTGGATGCTGGTCACCAGGCATGGCGCTTCATCATATCGACGTACCAGGTCAGGGACGACCTGTACATCGGGCAGCTGGAGGAGAAGATGACCCACATTCGGATGGGCGAGCAGGAGTCGGCGACGGATTACTGCAACCGTGCTCGACGGATCCTGGCTGAAATGCGAATGGCAGGCGCCGAATACTCAACGGCGTCCTACATCACCCACATCGTCAAGGGCTTGCCGCGCAGCTACAATCTCATGAAGAGGATGATGATGGTGCCCGGCACGCGTGAGTCCCTCGACGAAGACTCCATCACCAGCTACATTCTCCAGGATGAGGCGATGCAGGAGGCAGAGCAGCCCACGGAGTTCCTTCCGCAGGCGAGTTACGCTGCACCGACGAAGCCGAATACACAGCGGGAGCAGCGCGGGAAGCCGGGCGGAAGTGGTAGCAGAGGTGGGCGGTCGACGAAGAACGTCGACGAAACGAGGTCGACGCGGGAC